AAAAAAAAAAAAAAAAGAAGAAGAAGAAAAAGGAAAGCAAGAGAAAGAGAAGGGGCGGAAGTGAGAGGCGGGGTGGCGTCGCGATCGAGATGAGCGATCTACAGGCCACTCTCGAGTTCTCCCTCGAGCTCTGCAAGTTCTACAATGTCGACCTGTTCCAGCGTGGGTAAGGAAATATCCCGGATCCGCTCGTGTGTGCGCGACGGCTCTGCCGCGTAATTGCCACGGCTTATCCCTCCCCCTTCGCCCATCTTTTCGCTTATCGACGATTCCCAATTTCGCAGGTATTACCAGATACGAACCGCCCTCAGAGTGTCGCCGAAACTGCCTGTCAAGGTGGAGGTCAACCAGCTGCGCAACCGTGAGTATCTCTTTCGAGTTCTTTCGGCATTCCCTCGAACGGTGGCTGCTGGTTCTTCGCTTTACAAGTTGCCACCTTCTTTGCAGAGAAAAACAATTTGCGTAACCTTTACCTAGGTGTAAATTCACTTTCGTGCAAATCAATTCGTTCCTCGACGAATTGATTTTGCTTCTAATCACATGTGATGAAAATAGAAATTGCACCCTCGTGCAAAGTCAAGCACCACGACGAATTTGTTTCCTTTGTAATCATTGTAAAATCCGAGTGACGAGGTTATTATTCCGAAGTAAAAATTCGATTGCATGTACACACACGCGATAATGACATAAAGCGACACAAAATTAACGTAGAATATTTATTTATAACGTTGAAAGCATTGATCAAGGGTAGTTTTTATATACACGTTTATATTACAATAATTGACACTCGATAGGAGTGATTGCAATGGAATAATTAATATTCACTGAATATTCAATTTTTGGAAACACTTTCTTCAATAAAGTAATGAAACATGTTACTTCAACCATATATTATTTTAAGTTTACCCAAGGTGAATTTGATTTGCAAAACGTTGAACTTTGCTTGACGAAAAGGTGCAAAGTCTGCGTAGCAGATTAAAAATTCTCCAGCCGCCTAAAAAAAAAATTACATTCATCCGCAAGATGAATATGATGTGTAGCTTGAAATCAAAACAATCTCGATCCCAATCGAGTCAATTTTAGCTTGAACTCTTTGATAAAACGTCGCCTAAGCAAACGACCAATCTTCCTCGTGCCCCTCTTTCCACTCGAAAGAGTCGAACGATCAATGGCAGCCGAGTTTCCACGAATTAACACCTCTCCCCCGCGACAACGCGTGTCCAGCGATTCAGAGAACTTTCCTGCCGCGGAGGCGGGAACTTCCGTGGCATCGGTGGCGGCGAGAAAACTCGCTCGAATTCACCCTATCGAGTTAGACAACGGGGCACGGCTAGAACTAGTTCAAACCTAGCTTGCACTCGATAGCGTTAGAAAGTTCCTCTGGATCGCTTGTATCTCGTTGCCGCTCTTCATTCAGTGTGTGTGTGTGTGTGTGAATGTGTGCACTGAAACTGCGGCAGTGTCTCTTCTATCTCGGTAAAAACCGAAACGAGAAAGAAACAAAACCATCAGATGCTCGATCTCCACCCACATCATCACGTGGAAAATTAGACGAGTATGTTGGACATTGTAAAAGTACTTTCATCATCGACGTAATTCGTAGATCGTTAAATTTTGGAGTATTTTAATTTTGTTCACAG